AAAACGGAGAAGTTATGACAAATCAGACTATAAGGCAAAAAGAAAGTGCAGCTTTATGGTTTCATGGACAAAAGAATTTCTGTGGCTGCAATATGACGAGCTAAAAAACAACACGCACAAGGGTTAGGGTTAAATTTGAAAACTGTACTTTTGTGTTAAAATATATATTTATAATTTTAATAAATGACAAATTAAAAAGGCATGAACATTTTTTTTTGTATCAAAAAAATATCGAACCGTGACACCAAAGTATCGAACCGAACCGAACCGTGAATTTTGTGTATCGTTGCACCCCTAATAGCCACATACATAAATCGTAGTTAGATGGATTGGCAATATTCATCTTGGCTACTGTATTTAAGATGGTGGTGCAAAAAACTGGCCCCAGTCTTATGTATTTTAATGGATTCATTTTAAGCCCTTGAACTACATCGGTTTGTTGGAAGACAGAATTAGACAATAATAAATGTGCATTTATGAGTACAATATTGTTTTCTTTAATAAATCAACTCAAAAAATGACAGATGTCAGCAACTTCTAATAAAGCAATATACAGTACAAAAATGGCAAACCTTTACCCTGGGTCAATTGCAGACCATATGAACTGGAAGAACAACCAACTTTGACAGGAGTCATTCAACACAAGTCACATTACTATTCTATAGAAAAATTAAATATAAATACATGCATAGCACCAAACATTCACAGAGAAATATTTTTAAAAAATGCATCTGTCTTATATTGCAGAGGAAAAGAGACAGAAGTGCAGAAGTGGCTCAATAAACCTAAGTAAATATCTTGAACAGATTTCCATTTATTTCGAAACCTTTGAATAGGGTCATGATTTAAAACTAGCTTCACAACCTGACGAATCTTTTTTTTTTTTTTTTTTTTGTTTCAAAGAGAAAGGCACTTCCCAAAGTTTGACCTGGATAGGTCCAAGGTTTGTTTGGCGTTTTTTTTAATCACCAAATTGTGTGAATTAGTGTAACTTAGTTACAGTATAGCATACAATTCAGCTCAGGAGGCACTATAACTTTATTGGGTGAGCCTGGACCCCTGGGGCTCATCCATAGTACCCACTCTGCATCTGCCAGTTACAGTACTCTATCTTTAATCACATTACGTAAATCACATTCTCGTTAAAAAGTAACTACAGCTTACACAAAGGTGAACACAGTTGGGTAGTTAAGAAGAAATAGCAATTCTTATAACATCTATGGCATTCAGAAGTAAGTGCTTATTGTTCTCTAGCTTTAGCTAGTAAAATAAAACATATGATTTATAATACATGCATACATTCAATAGTGTGGGTTTGACTTAAAAAAACAGTTTTAGCTTTTTCATGTATGCAACAATGCAACAATTAAGTGGGCTCACCTTGCAGAAACACAAAAAATACAGTGGTGTACAACATTGAGCAATTGAGATTAGTGCAATACATTGATTTCACTGTGAGAAGCATCTATCCATTGCTGCAAACAGGATTCAATTCTTGTCAAGAACCTGAAAAAGGACCCTAAGACCCTGAGCAGTGCTTAAGATCAGTGGTACCCAACCCCCGGGCCTCGGACCGGTACCGGTCCGTGAGTCATTTGGTACCAGGCTGCGAGAGTAGAGGCTCAGGTATGAAATGTATGGTTTTCAGGGTTTTTATCAGTTTTCAGCGTTATTTTGTTATCGTTTTGATCGTTAACTCGGTTTTCCTGGGTCTTTTCACGTGTGTTAAAGGTCCGTCCATGAAAATATTGTCGGGCATTAAAAAAGGTTGGGGACCGCTGCTTAAGATGACTGTGTCAATTCCAGAGAACTCTACTGAACTGGCTATTTGAAAATTTTGAGCTGTTTTTCCACTAACTTTGCTGGTAATTGTGGCTATACCTAAAGATGATCACGTTTATATCTTCTTTTTTTGTTGTGTGGGTCTGTAAGGTTGAATGTTGTACTGTTACATAAAGATGGGATGGTTCCCATAAACAGTAAGAAATTACACATTGCTCATTGTTTTTTTTAAAAGTAACACAAGTAAAGACATAATTGTAACTAAAGTAATTAAAGTTTGACATTTCTTGGTGATTTTGAAGTAGTTATTACTTCCTTAATTACTTTACATTTTAAATAGTTTTATAAATAAATAATTTTTATTCATCTTATCTTTTTTTGCATTACTCTAACATGACCTTAGGTGTACCATCACACTAGTTAGACTACAGTCCCAAATAAACAGAATGAGGACTCTAGCTGCTTGGCTGGGATCAATGTGCATGTCACTTTCAAGCTCGAAGTAGTTTGTACTTGCACGTTCTTGTCCTTCAATGCACTAAAATGAAAGAAATGCCCATATGGCACTTTTAATGATTTTCTCTTCTTCTAATCTGTCTTCAAGGAGATGACCTTTGTAACACAATTAAAAATACAGTTGTAACTAGAATGTGATTACTGGTCTAAGGTGAACACTTGGAAAAAATGAAATGCAGTGATTGAAGAACAGATTGATGATTGAAATCAGTGAAAATATTAACGTTGTTAAAGATATAGATCTTCCCAGGAATCAGTTTAGGGGAGCTGCAGTGATCAACTATTTTCAGGGTGTACGGCAAAGACAAAGCTTTGACTTTGGCCTTCTTCCCATGGACTTTTAGCATGCTCTTGAAAACAATGCTATGCAGAGACACACTTTCCACAATCCCAATGCGCACTAAACAGAGATGCAGAACATTGCATTACAAATACACATTATTTTTCAATGGCATTCCAATATGTGTATATATTTCATACCTTTATTGCAAAGAGAAGTTTTGTTCAGATTATTCACAGAGAGATGTCGGTATTCTGAAAAAAAAGTGTATAGACATATTATTGGTAAAATGCAGAATCTGGGCTGTGCCATCATGTTAAAATGACACAAAATGAAGTTCTACTTTGTGAGAGGACATCTAAATGTATGCGACTGACCATTAATCATCTTTCTCTGATCCTGTTCTGATTCATTGATTAATGTAAGCCTCCCAGCGCAGCACGACCACAAAGTGGTGTTGTAATAGAGGTGACCACAGCATCCAAATCCTGTCTTGACAGTGTAAAGCACCTCTTTGTCCTCACCTGAGCAGCAAATCTCCTGGTTTTGAAAAGATATTATGTGTTATTGTTAATAAAAACATAATTGTTTGCAGTCACTGAGGCATTGTGTTAATTCAGTCAGGCCACATTACATGTTAAGCCAATAATCTTGCTACATCCTCAGTTATCAGCTCTTTTTTACAAAAACATTGTAATATTTTATCAGCTCTTTGTTACAAAAACATTGTAACATTAGCAGAGAAAATTTGGCAAGCTTTTTATGGGTGCAACCCCGATATTCAACTTTGCTATTTAGAAGATTTCCAGTTGTATAACATTCATTACTAAGCAGTACTTTCAATGGCGTAGTGGGAGGGAGCTGCTGCTTTCTTAAGTTTTTCCCCAGACCTATATCAATTAATTTTCTTCAAAAAATAGGCTTCATGTTCCTTCACAAAAAAATCTAGCATTAAAAGTTAGCATCAGTTATGCTAACCACTGTAGCCAAAAGTAACTTTAAATCATGTTTCGTGCCTACAACAGGCAGAAGCCTGTTTAAAGGGGATGAAGCAGTGGTAGGAAATACAAAATACTTTGTTGACGCCATCAATATCACTGACTCTACCTGTGGCTTTTGCAGAATGGATCCACAGCACTGCGCATCCCCTCCATGCTCATCTAATGATGTCAGATTGTACAGTGTTCCTGCACAGCACTTCATCTGTGGGTCTTTAATGTTGTAGGCTTTGACCCCACAGCAGTGGATGTTTCTCAGTCTGGGATGTCTGGTTGGAAAACAGAGGTATCAATTAATATCAAATATGGAGAGTGAGATGAAAAATGTAAGCTTATTGGAGCCTGAGTTATATGAGCCATTATCTATATTGATAGATTTCAGCCTGAAAGGTATTATCTTCATTTCTTCAGCACAGGGTTTACACAGTGAAAGAAAAATATTGGAGCTGCAGTTTCAGCACTCCGTCAGGATCTACACAGAATGCATTTATACCCAGAGCCATTCTCAACCACACTTTCACAGCTACTACAAGTAGAAACGAACTTATGAGAGCAGCCAAGACTCAACCAGTTCAACTGATACAAAACTGAACATAAATGAAGAACTAAAACCCAGATATAAATAGCTGCTGATTTGGGTGATAACTCTGATAACATTACAACGGTTTCCAACCCATTTATCAATGCAAAATATTGAATGGTACAATAAATTAAATTCCTAAATATTTTAGTTCTTCTAAATAGATAAATTACTGGAATGGTGGCAAGCAAACAGACAGTTTTCCACAATAAATTTGATCTCAAATTGTGCCAAATACTGTCAGAGACCCAGAAAGAAGAAATTCTTTAATAATCCATGTGAAGCACACACACACACACACACACACACACACACACACACACACACACACACACACACACACA